CACACTTTGGGCATACCTGTTCTAAAAAAAATTAAAATATCGTTATTTAAGTATTTATAACAAGCTGGTGTACATTTCACACCTGTATTCATCACAGCCATTTGGCAAGTATCAAAAACACAAACATTACTGTTCGGGGGGGGGGGGGGGGCCACCCGGATTATAAAAAACACGCACACAATTTTATCTTTTTTCTATACTGTTTAAATATCCCATGTTACACTGAGGCTTCGATTATTTTTTTTCTTCTTAAATTTCGTGGGTGCGGCTTACATTCAGGTGCGCTCAATAGTCCGGAAATGACGGTAATATATTACTATCTACCCTGCTCCGATTAGATCTTAGTGGAGCATTTGATACTATATTCTCACTGTTAATATGTTTTTTTTCTCCCCACTATTGCCAAAGTACTTTTCCAGTGCATGAATTAATCAGGTTTTTTTATATAGTATTTGAAAGATTGATTTTTACTCTGTCCTATTTTTATTTGACATTTTTAAGATTATACAATAATTCTTAATAGGAAAAACCCAGTGCACGTAACTGTTTAGAAAGAGAAAAACAATCACAGACAGAGCTGAAACTAATGAAACGTAACGTTGTTCGCTTGACTGACGACACTTTCAAACCATTCTGCAAAATTCGCCAATTTGCACCGTAAAAAAATTAAAAATCGACGCATGAAATTACACTTGTAACACATTGTCAAATTTTTCCCCCCACTCCCTAAGGAAATTGCTAGCACAACTTTAATGGAGCTTTCATTGGGACTGTGCACTGGGAACATTTGTCTGAACTTAGGCATGTTTACTACTCACCACCATGGCAGATATAATCTCTGGTGCAATAAGCCAAAGGGCTTGAGAGCAGTTGTCAGGCAACCGACAGGAGAAAAGCAGTTTAGTGATGATGACTGCAGACAGCACCTCCTGCAGCAGAGAATGGCAGAACATGAGATCAAAATAAAAACACATTAAATAAATATGTAAAAAAAAAAACATCTGCTGACTGACTGACAACACTGGCGCAGAAAGTGGCATGAGCAGATCTTGGCCTCACCCTGTAGTTTCCTGCCTTTAATTTTCCACTGTGTAGTCCATCTTTAACAATTACCAGCAGCAGGGTCAAATGGTGAGTTGTACTTTTCTCTGTCAGTTGCTGGAGAAGCTCCTCTACTGTAGGTTCAAGCTCACAGATGTTTTCCGAAGACAACCAGGAAGCTAAAGGCATATTTTGTTTTTTTTTTAAAGCGGGGGGAAAAAGGACAAAAAACAATCAATGCAAAGCACCCACTTATGACATTTTTAGTTTCTGATGTTATGTAAACTTTAAATTAACTATACATTAGGACAGGCATGGGTAAACTAAGGCCCGAGGGGCGCATGTGGCCCGTTCGGGTTTTTAATCCGGCATGCCAAACGTTTCCAAATTATATAATTTATCTATATTATCATTATACTTACTACTCACATTTCCCCAATGGATGGTATAGAAATTGATTAAAGCATTTTTAACATTTTAGCCTTTATGCATGACGTTCAATTTTTAGGACAACTGTAGCCCACCTGCATTAAGACAAAGCTACTGCCTGGCACTGTACAGGTGAATTTATATTATTAGCCTAATTAGCATCATAAACTAATATCCCTTAAGAAGTGGCTTTACTTATGAATTTACGACTTTGTTCGGTTAGGTTCGAATTTAGTGACTTTGGACATACCCGTGATGGACTGTACATCAAATGATATTTTTTTTTTTACAACATACCTGTCAGCAGACTGCATACACCCTGCAGAATCTGAACATACAGTGCCTCCTGAGCTCCTCCTTCATTCTCCCGGTCTTCGCACTTCTTTTCCACTGCTTTGTAGAAGGTGGACAAGAAGCGGAGTGAAGACACTAGAAAGTCCATGGGTCTAGGGTTGGCGCTCAAGTCTTTGAGGATCTGCTGGCACAGCTCCTGATACAGAGTCATGTGTTTAAAAGAGGGACCGGTCGCTACTGAAAGCGCGGTCGACTCGCACTCCAACAGAACGGTCACGATTTCTACCACAAAGGACCGATAGAAGTCGCTGTCCAGTTGACCGGCTCCTGTACTTGCAGTCTGGGGTTTCAACATAAACTCAGTAGCCGATCCCAGGGTCACGGTCACTCTAGACAGCAAGGACATTAAGGTTTGATCCAGTGATTTGCTTCTTCCACAATTAGAGTTCAACACCTGGGCCAAACTACTCAGCGTCGCAAGCTCAAGATAAACACAGGGAAAAAAGGCTTCTGGATTTGGTCTTACATTTTGGGTAAGAAAGGAGACAAACTGGTCTAAGTTGAGCTGGACACTGATATTGTTAATTATTATAAACTGCACCAATGACCCGATGAAGTTCTGCTCTGCTTTGATCAAACCGGAGGAAATCAGAGCATCGGACGTGGTCGCGAATCTTCTGTTGCTGCTGTGCCAACGGAGGCACGAGACCACAGTCTGCAGCAGAGGCCCTCCACGAATGACCTTCAACACACCTTTTAAATTACTACTCTGAACGAGAAAGTTCAGCATTGTGAGAAGACGTACAAAAAAAGCGGTGGGAACCAGGTCGTTGCGACAATCAACACCCACTGGGTCTTGCTGACAGGTGGAGGTCAGCATGAAAAGGAGGAGGAAAAAAACGGAGCAAAGATCCTCAGAGTTCATCGCATCTGGGTTAAGGTCTCTTAGGATTCGCACCAGGTCCGTCAGTTCCTCCACCTGCGCGCCAGTCAGTGTCACGCACACGTCACCGGTCGTGGAGGTTTCCAGGATATCCAGAACTATACTCTCGCTCGCCATTACCCTCGAAAACCTCAACTCCTGATGCGCAGCGATCAGAACATCTCTTATCCTTTGAGTGAGACAACAAACAAATGAGGAGAAAAGCGAAGGCAACTCGGGAAGGAGTGGACTTTCGAGAAACTGTGAAGATATCGTGGCCACGGTAAGACGGTTGCGCGGCTTGTCATCTTTTTGTCTGCTTAGGAGCGACGTGACCAGGACATCTGTGAAGCACTTCTTGTCTTCTTCGCTCAAATAAGGAGCAATCAAAGGCAGATTGGTTGTGACGAGATACCAGTAAGCTACAGCATAAGAGTCGGAGTTTACATTGCAGATCTGCCCATCCCACTCGTGCTCCAGACCCGTATTCACTTCACTCTTCAGTTTAGCCAACAAAACCGTAACGGCCTTTTTAACTGCAGCAACGCTACTTTCAGACAGCGGTGCGTTGTCTAGCATAAGCTTCTTGACTTGTTGCAATGTGATCAGTTTGTCAAACAGGCAAGTAACAGGGCTGGTGGAGGAGGACATGCTCAGACACGTTGGTAAGAAGTATACACATCCGTGAGTCTCCGTGTGAGTCATCACCGTAGCACTGGGAACATCCTCGCCCTCAGTTTCCATAACCTCAGCCCCCAGGTGTTTGTATTTACTGCAATGAAGGTCAAAAAGCATGTCCACTTCCACCCAGGAATACCTGAGGATAAGAGTGGCCTCTACCATCTTCTGTGCCCACACTTGAATCTTCTCTAGTTCTTGGCGACTGACACCCTTCCTGACTTTTCCGGACCTGTTTCGTCCAGATCCTTTCATTGCTTTCACAGTGGGATTTTCGTCCGACATCAGCTGCTCTAAGAACCCGACTACCTGGTGCATCTCGCTCATTAGTGCCTTGACCTGCTTGACTAAAGGTAAAGGAGAAGCACTGTCTATGGACTTTGTGTGAAACAAAACAGTATGAAGAAGCTGGCTAAGAGACAGAAGCTTCAATGAAGAATCTCGTCTCTTCTTCTGATTAACGTCCGCCATTTCTTTGTCGCCTTGACCGCCATTCCCCAGGTCAGGGAGTATGTATTTTTTTATGCCGTCCAGCACTAATGAGCAAATCTCTAAGCTCTGAGACAACGGGGTGTCTAGAAGACAGCTGCTCAAGGAAGAGTAAAAGCCATCAAAAAGCAGCGGAGGTCGAAGTTCTTCCAGAGCAGGCTGACAGATCACTGACAGTAGTTCAGAAAAGAGATGAGGTAGCTGACGCAGTTTGGTGTAGATCTGGAGGAGACTACACACCAGAACCTGTTGAGGTAAAGCATTGCATGTTAAGTAAAACTTTTTTTTTTTTAAAAATTGAAAACATTCACGTCAATTTAACTTTTTTGAAAAAAATTGAAAACATTCACGTCAATTTAATTCCCTGCATTCATTCACGAAATGAAATAGAATATTAAATTCAATATGTTTAAGCCCAGCTTTTTCATTTGCATTTCTAATCTAGACAGGAATATTCCGATTTTATCTGTGAAGCAGTAAATCGTTACTACATAAATACAACGTTATTTAAATTGTAGGCCTCTTGTGCCCAAACGAGCTTTATTTAGCAATAACAAATTTTTTTTTTTTTTTTTTTTGGGGCTAAGCCAGAGCCTTTTTTTTTTTATGGATTTTAGCATCAACAACTAAACACAAAGCAAACAAGTCAAATAGATAAAGTCAACATTATGACATAGGCCTCTTGTGCCCAAACGAGCGTTATTTAGCAATAACAATTTTTTATTTTTTTTTTTATTTTGGCTAAGCCAGAGCCTTATTTTTTTTAAATGGATTTTAGCATCAACAACAAAACACAAAGCAAACAGGTCAAATAGATAAAGTCAACATTATGACACTAAATCTTTAGTGCAGGTTGACATTCAGAAAAACCAGGTGGCTCAGTTAGATGAGCTGATACTGATAAGTCATGCATAAAATAGCATAAAATGCTTGGTATCGCAGGGAAAAGTCAGAAGTATGATTGATAATATAAATAAATTATACATGATCTATGTAACTACATTATTGTTTTGGGGATTTTCAACAGCACTAACATTTTCAGTCTCACCTGTCTGGCCGGCTCAACTTGTCCATCTGTACATTCAAAATTAACCCAGGCCAAAGACAGGAGCTGATCCAGGTCTGGTTCAACAATTTGATGGTTCAAACTTAACAGCACCTTGAAACAGTGATGCCAAGCTGGGATGCTTAAAGACATAAATAATAATAAAAAAAATGTTTATATTGATACAAATACATTGTGTAAATTTAAAAAAAATGCACAAAACCTTCAGAAGAACGATATGTTACCTTGGCTGAGCCTTATTTAATAGAATTTGTCCCAAGGCTCTGAAAAAGTTGAGTTGGATCTCTCCGTGTCTTATCCTGTCTGCTGCTACGTTATAGATGTCAGCTGAGACAGCCTGGCCGAGCAGGGACTCCAGAGCAGTCAGGGCCAGGCTCCAGTTCTGTGGAGAAGTGGGAGAGGCAGGAGAGGGCGTCTGGTCTGGGCATGCAGACACAAGCGGGTCTGCTTCTGCGGGGGAACGTGACTGCATATCAGGACCCAGATCCAAGATTGGGACTAGTCTTGTGAGAAAATGAAAACATAAAAGTTTTTGTTCCTCATCATTTTCTCCTTTGCCTTTAGCATAGCTGTCCAGAAAAAACCTAAAAAGCAGAGAGACCGTGTTGGCCTTCAACGAGTATAGCGATGGCTTTTCGCAATAATCCTGAGCAGTCAGTTTGGAAAGTATGGCGGTGACCGGTTTTAACGGGCCCTTAGACCCTCCTGCGCCGCTTTTTCCAGCAATGCCTTTAGTTGGAAGGAGCTCCTCCTTGTACGAGGTCAAGTGCTCGGACGGGAAGAGCGCAAAGAGAAGGACGGAATCTACCCTCAAACAAATGTCTCTCCGCATTTGCTGGTGGAGTTGCGGACGAGCGCGAGAGAGGTCGGCAGAAGTCAGCAGGTGTCTCACGAGGACAAACGGCTGGAACAGGTGGCTGAGTAGCATTACCAAGACTCTGTTTGGGTTAGCTTGTTGACGCTGTACTGCTAAATAACAGGTCAAAACCTGGAGTAGTAACTCAAATAGAAGTGATGATTTGGAGCCTTCATCTGGCTTCGTGGACAATTCCTTCATGTTCCGACAGTCTGTCTTGCCAGCAGCTGAACACATTGAAGACTCCGTCACTGAGCTCCCTGGGATCTGTTGCTGTTGTAGTTCAACGCAGGCCATGGCACAGAGCTTAACCAGCAGGTCAACCATGAGTTCATACTTTGTAATGAAGACAGATGACAGAACTGGACAAGACACGACACCCTGACAAACACTAAGGACAAGTGACGCGGAAACTGACGGGGTAGAACCAGTGTGAGAATATTCCTGAAGACGGTCGAGCAGCAGCTGGAAATAAAAGAGCAAAAAAAAAAAAAAAAAAAGGATGAATGAATGACAGAACATTTAGGACTTAATACAACCCAAACTAGCCATGACATCAGGTATAATGTTTGGACTAGTGCAGGTGAAGGAAGCCTATATGTCAGGGTCTATAATAAACATAATTGACTAGAATATTTTTTTAATTTAATTGCAATATACCATACTTTCTGGACTACTGAGAGCAGAATATATGCCGCACCCACTAAATTTAAACAGGAAAAAAAAAATTTTTTTTTTTACATATATAGACTGCACTTTTCTATAAGCCACAAGTGTCCACACTCCAACATGGGAGACTTACACAAAAAGATTTTTTCACTTTTAATTAAATAAACATATATAGACTGCACTTTTCTATAAGCCACAAGTGTCCACACTCCAACATGGGAGACTTACACAAAAAGATTTTTTCACTTTTAATTAAATAAAAGCACTGAAGACAAAAGATGAAACTGCACCTGTGCCATGTTAAGTCTCAGGCTCACAGTCTTGCCCTGTTTGAGGAGTGACTGAAGCTTCTGGCTGCGAAGCAGGTCGTTGAGGTACAACCAAAGACCTTCTAAGACGTCCTGAGAAAACTCAACCTTCTGACTGTACCAACCCGTCAAGGCATGGGTGCACCAGTCCAGCAACACCTGTATTGGAAGACCAGATGTTAACATACATTTACTATTAATGAGGTAGAGTAAGGCTTCACCACTGAGGAAAAAAAAAAGAGAGTCAAACAATTAATGGTTTAGCAGCATTGATACGTTTGCAAAGTACTCTCTAACTGGTCAGGCCAAAAAGTTCAAACGTACAGATTGTTTGAGGGGTTTTCTTGGTAAAACATTTGCAGTCTTTAACCTTTGCCAAAGTCATTAATTTACATAAAGACATATTTTAGACATCTTCAAAAAAACAAAAAACAAACAAAGAAGCACTATTAACAATATCAACAAAAACATATGCCACAGCTGACAAAGGCACCTAAGCTTTTACCTGTTCCTTGTTTGGAAGCAGACACTGAGACGAGACCCAGGCAAAACGTGCCAGCTTTAGCTTGTCCTCCCATGGAGTTTGAGGGCTCTTCAGTTTCAGGTGGATACCCGAAAAGATGGCCGCCATCTCTGCAGCTGCTAATACAGCTGCATACAACAATGGATTTCTAATGAAGCACTGAAAGTACAAAAGAGGTGTGCTTAGATCAAAGGCATAAGAATAAAAATGGTGAATTGTAGCCTGACACTTGGAAGAAAAGAAAAAAAGATTAAAAAAAAAATTAATTTGTGTATTGTAACTAGTAGGGTAGTGTAATCACCATACCTGAGTATAGCCTTGCTATCTTATACAATTAATCACACAAGAACACAATCATCACAGTGTACTGTAGCACTGCTGCCCGCAAAATGCTACAGTCTGACAGCTTAGTGATGGGACAGATTACTGGGATCAGAACGTCAGACAAATTGTCAAATCATGTTCAGGCACAATGAGCCCGGATTCCTTCTAATGCATGACAATGTCCACCATCATAAGCCATAGTGGGGCTGAATCCTGGATGACTAAGTCAATGATGCTACTGATTAGCAGACATGGGCAAACTAAGGCCCGGGGGCTGAATGCGGCCCGTTCAGCTTTTTATAATGCCGGCCAAACTTTTCCATATTATATAATTTATTTATATTATGATTATACATCTGCCTTTTCCCTGCAATGCCCACATTTCTCCAACAGATGGTGTAGAAAATTAGAAAAGCATTTTAGCCTTAACGCATGACTGTAAACATTAAGGCTAAACATTTTAGCCTTAATGCATACTGTGAACAACAGTATGGTTTCATGGCCTAGAAAGAGTACCACAGATGCAATATTTGCCTTGAAGATGCTGATGGAGAAGTACAGAGAAGGTCAGAAGGAGCTGCGTTGTGTATTGGTAGATTTAGATTTGCTAAGATTCTCTTTAGGAGTGACAAGGATGGACAGGATTGGGAATGAGGTCATTAGAGGGACAACAGAGACAGGAAGGTTTGGAGAAAAAGCTAGAGAAGCAAGAATGACATGATTTGGACATGTGCAGAGGAGGGANNNCTTGGTAGAAGACTGCTAGAGATGGAGCTACCAGGTAGGAGACAAAGAGGAAGGCCAAAGAGGAGATATGTGGATGCAGTGAGGGAGGACATGCAGATAGTTGGAGTCAGAGTAAAAGATGCAGACAACAGGGTAAAATGGAAAACGTTGATTCACTGTGGCAAACCCGGAAAAAAAAAAGGGACAAAGCCGAAAGGAAAAGAAGAAGAAGAACGCTCCATCTATCTGCTCCTGACACGGCCCGCCCCCGCCATCATAAGACAATTGAGGCCCGCGAGTCAAAAAGTTTGCCCCCGCCAGGACACTCCATCTATAACAGTACTGGACGTTCAAGCACAATGCGCACATCTAAGGAATACACATAATATAGCAGAGTAAATAACAGAATACGCATTTCAATTATTGTACAAAGACCACTAAGACCTAACTTTTTTATTTTCTTTTCTTTTTTTTTTTGTTTTGTTGTGAATGTCCCATGATGATATTCTTCACGCTGCCTTTAATGACAGGTCCATAACGTGTATTTAGCAGTTAGCTTAAAGCTAAACAGAGCGAGATATCGTGGGTACATTTGTCACTCCATTACGCTAAATTGTCGCCGGAAAAGTAAAACAAAAAAAAAGAAAAACCTATCGATTCCAGTATTTTTCGTGGATATTGCGTTTTGTATGTTTTAAAAGCAAACTTACAACTTTCCGGAACACACGTGCCTCCTGTTTTCCTACTTGACTGACCTTTCAACTTTCTAGTCGGCCAGGCCAAAGCAATCGATAGTCATTCGATGTTAGTACTATGCACACTAACTGCAGCTCAAACTGTGTCTTCATTAAGGTCATGATTCTATGTGTATGCAACATTTAACCATGCTGTTTAAAAAATAATAAAAACATGATGTCGACATACTCACTTATTTGGGAAAACTAATTCGAAACGTTTAAAATTAATTTTAATTTTTTTACGCAATTGTATGTATCAATTAATCTCAAATTTACAGATATTATAATTCCATGTATTTATTCAGCCACGTTTATGGGATGACTTAACATTTTTGCTTAATTTTAAAGTCGAATTTTAAACATTCATTTCTCTGGGTTCTTTTGCTGATGCCTTAAAGTGTGTAAGTGTGTGTAAGTGTTTGTGTGTGTCCTTCCGCCGGGGAGAAGGACAACCAACAGTCCTGTACCACAGTCGGTATAAATTCAGTATGGTTTGCACACTAGGTTAATGACGGGGTATTCTTATTTCTCTCCGCCAGGCTTACCATAGGGTGGAGTGTACTAATTGTGTGTGGTCACTGAGCCACAGCTGACATTGACAGGTAGGGTGGTGGAGGGAGTTACTGCTTGATAATCAAAGATAAATGGGCGAAGTCTCCTGTTGCTTGTAGATAATGTTTAAAATAACGGCCTATACTAGGCAATGAAGCAAGTTCAAGTAAACAGTTCAAGAGTCTAAGGGAAATGGACATGGATTTCACCAGAAGCAGAGCTCACCGTTGGATTACCTTTCGCTAAAGCTTCTTTAATTTAAAGCTAATCGGTTTGCTTATGACAATGTGGCTTTTAATTCGTGTTTCTGGAACATATTTACAAAGACTGAGGCTCACACTACCCGGGAGGTGCTCCTTGGACCACAGCATGAGCTTCTCAGTCGGTTCCCGGAAGACTACACATCGGAGCAGGGTCAGCTGCTCTCTCCGTTCGTCATCCAAGCCCCAACCGTGGGCTTTGTCGTACAGACCACTCTTCCTACACACCCCTACGTGTACTCGCATGCCTATCGCCTTCGCTGGCTCCTCTGCAACATCACGAGCAACACTATCAACCGGAGCAGAAAAGAGCCAATCAGACACTGGAATAATACAGCCAAAGACCCCGGTCCCTTTGAACGACGTAAAGAGAATTTTGGGTCTCGCTCAATCAGAGAAATGGAGACTGACAGGTAAAAATGTGCTAAACCAATCTGCCACCTTCCGTCTCAGTTGAAGACATTTTTAATGTTTTGTTAATTATAAATACATTCTTCGAAAAAGTCAGCTTTTTGTACCTACCAACAATATTCTATATTCGATTATTAAAACTTTATATATGTGGATACTAATAGATAAATATCTAATATATTTTTCTTTTTTACCTCTGGGATATGTTACAGTCCCGACCTAATACCCATATTTTGGCATCAAGCTAATTTACATTTACAGAACAAGAAGTAAAAAATAGCTGTATGTCAATAAGTATAAGGTCAATAAGTACGCAATACTACAGAACTGTACTATAGCACCTAACATTTCATTAGTATCTAGCAAGAATTGTGATGGATATTATTGTTATTATGACTTAAAAATGACTTGCACAGGAAATAGATCAGGCAAAAATATGAAGTACTAAGTAAATATTAAGTACATTAACATTAAGTTTTGAAGGATTTAAGGAGACAATGTCAATAAATGCAGAGAGAGTAACGGAAGTCAACGAAAAAACCAATTTCCAACAGGCATCATGTTTGTGAATGCACTGATGGTTAATATTGATTGCATTATTTTTATGATCAAGGACCTGAACAAAACAATTCAAACAAGTAAACGCTGATATTAGTAAATCGTCAACTTGTACACAAACCAGAATTTTTTTTTTAGTTTTTTTATTTTTATCAAATGTGTCTAGTATATTTTTTATTTTTTATTTTTATCAAATGTGTCTAGAAGTAAAGGTGTCATAGCCACACTCTGAAACTTAGATTTTGTTAATGGCCTTTTTACTATCATTTGTACCCATTATCCTTCCACACAACACAACTGCTCTGTAAGGACATAATGGCTTATTATATGTTTGTCATGTTGAAATGACGGTCAACACTAACGTGCAACATTATTTGAATGTTGCAATAATACATTTGACACTTAAAGCGCGAGAAAGGTCACATGTATTGCTATCACTTTTAAGGACAAAACAATGATAATAATTGTGTCACCTCAGCTGCTGTCGGCTTCCTCGCCGTCTCCAGTGCAGTCAGCATGTCTGCACCATTCTTCCTGGGAAAAGTGATTGACACCATATACAACAGTGCCGCGGACACGGATACGATGACAGCATCATTGACATCGCTGTGTATAACGCTAACGGGAGTGTTTCTATGTGGTGGTGCAGCAAATGCTGCCAGAGTTTACCTCATGCAAATCTCGGGTAAAACTTGTTGTAAAGTTAATATTTTTTTTGATGCAACAATAACTGAGTAAATTCACTTTTCTATTTCTGCTGTGTATTTCTACATGCTCACCAATGACATATTTTTCTTTAAGGTCAGAAGATTGTACGTAACCTCCGTGCCTCAGTGTTCTCCTCCATACTCACACAGGAAGTGGCATTTTTTGACCGCAATAGGACGGGCGAGCTTATCAACCGGCTTTCGGCTGACACGGCCATTGTTGGCCGCTCGGTTACAGACAACCTCTCTGATGGACTGAGAGCTGTCGCCCAGGCCATTGCCGGTGTCAGCATGATGGTGAGTGGTCTGGGAGTAAAGATGTGCTACATTGTTATGATCAAAAATGATCTGGACGACTGACTGCAGCCTCAGCTAGCCCCCGTAAGAAGCGTATGGACTTCAGTGGGGCTTGCACTCCAGTTTGAGTCGCTTTCGGTGAAGCTAGCTAGATCAACTAGCTCCAGAGGAGATAATCCTATTTAGACAACATCAAATTTACCTGCAGTACTGGTAAATTTTAGCCTTGTGGCTAACTCTCTATTTACTGAAGAACTCAATCAGTTTGTTTTAATAAAGAATTTATTTAAATACAAGTCTGCAGGGCACTAACAAGGCAAACTGGTACGTCTACCGTCACTAATGAAAGCGTGACTACGCATTAATGACGAATATTCTATAAACAACACAAAATTAAGCCAGAATAGTGACGATATTTTGTGTGCTTTTATACAGTTTTTTAAAAATATCTGTGTGCATGTGTATTGTTGTAGGTGTTTGTATAAAACAGTTTTGTTGGGTGTTTTGTAAATGTTCCCATTACATTGTATTTCTATTAGACATCCTAACAAAAGCCCGATTTCTTATTCAAATGATTGCTTTCCTGACATAATAATTAAAAAAGAAATGATGACAAATTACTGAATTCAGGTTATTCTGTTTCTTTTCCCTTTTCTTTACAAACCCCCCCCCCTCTAGTTCTATGTCTCCCCCAGTTTAGCTGGCTTTGTGTTGATGATTGTTCCCCCCCTGGCCATTCTTGCTGCAGGCTATGGCCGGTACCTACGCTCTATCTCCAAATGTACACAGGAGGCTCTGGCTGAAGCAACACAGGTACAATGACCAGTTACATTTGTAATCAAGGCGATATTGAGGCGATGTAAATACTGAAATACTGGAATTTCTGATTGTAGCAAAAAATAAAACCCATGTTTAGAAGGACATTTTTTATGTTGATGCTATGTTGAGGAAATGTTTGCCGCTGCTGTTTTAGCAGTCAACATAATTTGTGTGTGTATATATATAATAAATATATATATATAAATATATATATATATAAATATATATATATATATTTATCCATATATATATATATATATTTATCCATATATATATATATATAAAAATATATATGGATATACGAGTGTATATCCATATATATAGATAGATATAATTGTATTATTTATATTTTTAAGAGAGTGTTTGTGTGGGTTTTTTTTTTTTTTTTAGTTGGCAGAGGAGCGTATCGGCAACTTGCGGACGGTCAGGGCGTTCGGTAAGGAACTGTCAGAGGTCAGCGCGTACACACAGAAGACAGATGAGGTTCTCAGCCTGGCAAAAAAGGAAGCTGTGCTCCGCGCTGGTTTCTTCGGAGCGGTAAGTGTGTGTTGTACAGCAATGCCACTCTTAACAAATAGTATGTTTCAATACACTTCTGCATTTTGCCGTAACGATTTACGAATTGCCCAAAGTTAACAACTTGTGTATTCTGAATGTTCCACAGTGAAACTGGAAACACGGTCACGTTACACAACCATATTTATGGTTTAAGTTGACAACAGAATACTATGAATTATAATTGATTTAATGTTAAATTGTATATATTGAGAGTATCCTCCTATGTCCCTTTAACAGGGGGAAACTAATTTAATTGAGTTTTGTAGAGCAGGAGAAGATAATCCACACTGCGGCACTAAATGTAAACAGTTGGAGGGACAACTTAATAATTAGTTCAATTGTAAAAGTAGTTCTGCTGGGTTTGAGTTTGAGAAAAAGGCAAAGCGCCAACTACTGGAGAAAGAGGAGACAAGTGATTATGTTAAAGTTACTTAACGTGTATGAGATGTTTGTAATGTGAGGAAAGACTGCTCAGTGCGCTATGGGAGTTCGCCCAGCAGTCTAGTCCTGTAGAAACATACTACTAAGGGATAACTCAGGTTTACCTGAGCCAGCCCTACAAATAGGATTCATCAACAAGGAAGGTTTGATGTCTAACTTTGAAACTAGAGAGGGCAACATCCTCCAGAACGAACTCTGGCAGCTAAAACTAAACTATTTTACCTGCACTGTGCCGAAGTTTTATTTGCACAATGGAAAAGTGTGGCTTTGTAAATATCGAGGGCCTGTTTTTTTTGTCTAGCCAGCTCTACCTCCCATGACAATGTCCAAGCATTATGATCAGTAAAAATAAAATGGTGCAATTGAAAGTCAGAAATGGACGTGGAATGGATGTAAATAGTTCCTGTCTTGGGATCAGCAGGTAAAATACAGGACTACTTGCTCCTGATAGCTAATATACAGGTGGTACATTATGCATTTCTGACCTAGGCATTAGGTGGCTTCCTGTATAAACAAATCCTCGTACTAATAATCACATAGTGTCTTTAGAAACCATATATTATGCAGAAATGTAGTACAACAACTTGTTATATCCTAGATCAGGGGTTGCCAACATGGACTATTATGCTGTTCTAAAAATAAAACTAGTCAACAAGAGGGTGAAATTAATTGTTTTTTTTTTTTTATGTACTCTACCCTCAAGTCAGTGCCTTGATGTTTACTGACTGTAGAGACTCACCTTTCCACATTCCTGGTAATGCAGGAAGTTTGTGGCTTATCTTCGGATCGCTTTACTGAAATCCTCCAGGCGAGGGTTGTTTCTAGCAATCACAAACAATAGCACTAACCAACAAATAATTTTTATGCAAATTGTATTTCCTATTGTAGTCTGTTTTTACTTCTAGTTCTTTTATTTGGTGCTCATATTTTTTAGTTTGTCTTTCTGTATTCACTCATTTATCCCAAGTTATTTCTCTCCATCAAATTCATTGTTTTAAAGACCGACCGCTGCGTAAAATTCAACAGAATTCAATTATTATTGTCCATAAGTTATGTTTCCAAAACGCTATATATTCCTTATTAAAATCAGACTGAGAAACACACGAAAGAAGGTATGAATTTAAGATTCCAGTAAATGTGAAAAGAGACAGACATGTTTTTGGAGAAGGCTGTTTAAATTATTTTTATTTTTTTTAAAAAACAAAAATAACATATAGTACAAATTTCAACTTTTAGACAGGTCTGAGTGGAAACATCATGATCTTGTCAGTGCTGTACAAAGGAGGGCTCCTCATGGCTAGTCATCACATGACTGTTGGGGAGCTGTCGTCCTTTCTCATGTACACCTTCTGGGTAGGCATCAGTATTGCAGGTGAGAGGAAAAAAAAAAGTTGAACTGAGAAAACACACTTTGTCTGCCCAGTGTTCACAGTCATTTTACATTTTAACAATGCTATGTTATTTTTGCTCGTCGTACAGGTCTAAGTTCCTTCTACTCTGAGATGATGAAAGGTTTCGGAGCCGGCACTCGACTATGGGAGCTGCTGGACAGGAAACCCGAGTTTCCTCTTAATGGTCAGGAAATAAACATGCATGGCTCTGCGCAATTAAGCTGGTGTGACCTGTGAACCACAACCTTAATTATGGTGGAGGGGTTTGAGTATCCAAATGAACCTAGGGAAGCTACGTTGTCTGGGGCTTAATGCCCCCAGGTGGGGTCGCCCAAGGCCAAGAGCAGTGCAAAACCCCCTTACGAAAGAAATAAAGAAAACTAGATACACTATATTACTTATTATAAGTATTGGCTCACCTGCCTTGACTCATACTATGAACTCAAGTGCCATCCCATTCCTAACCCAGAGTTCAATATGATGTCGGTCCACCTTTTGCAGCTATTACAGATAGGGTGAAGAAACAATCTCTGATTTTTGAAGACCTTAGGGCAGATTTCTTTTAACCAGGCAACACATGAGGCTGAAATATAGGTTAAAAAAAACTTAAAAGCAAACTCCACTAGAAAGCAGCACAACCTCAAAAAAGCGCAGAGTGAGATTGAATGATGAGAATGGAATACTGCGTATTATTTTAAAATGATTCATGATAAATATATATTGAAAAAAAATCTCTGAATCTGATACTGTTTAGGGCAGTAGCGAAGCCTTGCTGGCCTTGATGGTACGTGAGTATATTGAGAGTTTATATTAATTTCACCTTTTCCCCCGTTCACAGAAGGTCTAGTGCTCCCCACAGACCAAATAAGGGGCCACATTGAATTCTGTGACGTCTCTTTTGCTTACCCGACCCGTAAGGAGGCTTCTATTTTCAAGAACCTGAGTCTGGTGGTCCCAGCTGGTACGGTCATGGCTGTGGTTGGCTCCAGTGGATCTGGAAAGTCAACCATGGTGTCACTGCTGCTCAGACTGTATGATACCGATCTGGGTGAGGACGAGCTTCTCAATCAGAGGTTTACAACTTATGCTGCTGATTACTGGTAACACTTTTCACAATTTCTTTTTTTTTTTTATCATCTTACAGGAAACATTACCATAGATGGATATGACATCAGGGATTTGAATCCCTATTGGCTAAGGAGTCAAATTGGAACTGTCAGCCAGGTAATCAATAAAATTACATTTGAATTACTATAAATATTTATATATTTATGTATTTATATATTTATGTATTTATATATTTATATATTTATATATTTATATATTTATATATTTATATATTTAATATAGCACTCAGAACCCAGACACTCTTTAGTAATGCAACATTCTCAATCATTTAAATAAAAATGTGTCATGAAGTAATTAAAAATATAACTATTCTGTATTGGGTTTTTTTTTTCAGGAGCCTGTGCTGTTTTCTACCTCGATAAGGGAAAATATTACTTATGGTGCAGTGAACCCTGACGCCGTGACCACAGAAGAGATCTACAGAGTAGCTAGAGTGGCCAATGCCTATGAATTCATCCAGGCGTTCCCTAATGGCTTCAACACTGTGGTTGGGGAGAAAGGAATTCTGCTTTCAGGTAACAAACCAAGCTGAAATATACTAAACATCTTTATCCACCATTGACTCCTGAACTGTATGTGGTAACTAGGGATGGGCAGAGTTAGCAAAGTGTTATTAAACTTGTATGTATGTATGTATGTATATATATATATATATATGTGTGTATATATATATATGTATATATATATATGTATATATATATGTATATGTATGTATATATATATATGTATATGTATGTATATATATATATGTATATGTATGTATATATATATATGTATATGTATGTATATATATATATGTATATGTATGTATATATATATATGTATATGTATGTATATATATATATGTATGTATGTATATATCTGTATATATATGTATATGTATGTATATATGTATGTATCACTGCCCCCTATCGGTGTGCATGGTGCTTTCTGCCTCAATCTGCACTTTTTCTTTGCGCTCATAAAGACTACACACATTTAAAATATATTAGACAGACTATGGAAAGAGCACGTATACTGTAGTACATCTCTCTCTCTCTCTCTCTTCGCTCACTCACGAGCTTCTGCTTGTGCTCTCACTTCACTGCTGCTGGGGGTTTAAAAAAAAAATTGCGATTCATTTTCCAAATAGTATAGTACCGTTTTGTTTGTTTTTTAGACTTTTTCCCCAAAGACCAGTTTATAAATTGTCATTTTAGGGTTAAAATTATGTAAACTTAATAAATGTAAAACATTTTTCTTTTTAGGTGGTCAGAAACAAAGGATAGCCATAGCCAGAGCCTTGCTCAAGGTAAGAACCAGTGGAGTGATTTTTTTTTTTTTTTTTTTTAATACTCTACAGAGCCTGTCTCAACATATGGGGGTTTGCTATTTAAAACTGTTGTTTTTTTTTTTACATTATCTATCTATCTTATCTATCTATCTAGAGTTAGGGCAGACATATGAAGCTGAATTTAATATGAATTTTTTTTTTTTTTTACCTCTACAGAATCCTGTGATATTACTTTTGGATGAGGCTACCAGGTGAGAGTCAGGTTTGTTGAAGAATATTAATGATAAAAAAAAAAAGAAATTGTAATTGGGATGATGCGTTTGTGACGTATAAACTATAGTTTTCCCCTAAAGCAAAACTAACTCTTTTAAATAAACGCAATGATACCACAAATGATATAAAATATTGAAATCATTATTATACAATTTTTTTTTCCCCCCATGTGTACTGACAAATAAAATAAAATAATCTTTTAGAGGTAGTAGCATATCTCGTAGTTTAACTACTGCAACATAGAGTACGGGCCAATGCTGATATCAGTCGCGTCCTGCCCTTCATATGGCAATAGTGTCTCTGTTTACGGCATGTCGCCATAGTTGAGCATTTGGGCTTAGGCATCAGATCAGAGGAGCCATAAGTGTATTTTCTTTTGATATTTGATCCTGAAATTTTAACCAATATCAGACCAATGCCTATTCTGAGTATTGGATTGAGCCATCCATAGTTTAAATACAGTGTCCCTTTAAAAAATATACACAAAATGTACATGTACAAAATGTACATGTATGTAATTATGTATTATTTTTAGGCATGTGTACCACTGTCTGTTACTCCTGTCCCACTGGACATTTACATGTTCGTTATTTCCCACAGTATAGCACTTCAGATTGAATTTGGATTAAAGCGTGAGATTCTTAAGTGTTTCAAATTTTGATTTTTAAGGTCAAATAACCTATTGTGCGTGAAAAGCTAAAAATTGGCTTTGTAAAGGACCCAGAAGACAAGTGTTGTCAAGCGTTAATTAAAGATGCTAGTGACTATTGTACTCCTTTCCAGTGCACTGTTGCTGTAATTTGGTGGTTCTGTATTTTGGTCACATGGTGGCACTCATTGCACACAGACTGTGTATACCATGTATCATGACTGTGTATACCATGTATACAATCATCCTTTTCTTCCTAGCATTATTTTCAGTTTAAAAGTGTTTTTTTCTAGTAGAATCCTCATTGAAATATAAATCATATAAATCAGATAAGCCATAGCATCCTTCATAAATGAAATCTTACTGCAACTTTCTGGGAACATATCCAGTGGCGTTTTGCTATCTTTTCATCTTCAAACCCAAGGGTTGTATCTCCTTTTATGTGCGCCTTCTGTAATTTGAACGGAAACCTAATTCATGTTCTTTCTTTAGTGCGCTGGATGCTGAAAATGAATCCTTGGTCCAAGAGGCATTGGAACGCCTGATGGACGGTATGGGCCACAATGAGAACCCATTGTTTAACAACCTTGTAATTATTTATTTTTGTGATTTTTAAAAAAAATTTTTTTACCTTTTCTTCCCTCATCATGGGTGACAACAGGAAGAACTGTTGTTATCATTGCTCACCGACTGTCCACCATCAAGAATGCAGATGCCGTGGCTGTGCTAGACCAGTGCCGTGTGGCGGAGTGCGGCCAGCACTTGGAGCTGCTGAGCAACAAAGATGGGCTGTTCAGAAAACTGATGGAGAAGCAGGCCTTTTTGCAGGAGGAACACAGCAGAGCACTGGGCTGAGATAGCAGCGTAAAAACCCGCGCGGAGAAGGGGAAGGAGACACCTCGACGTGGAGTCAGTGGCTTTGCTGTGGGAACAATGCAAAATGCTGCCTCGAGATTATAGGTGGGAACAGGGAAAGTCAAATAATATTTTATTTTTGGACTAGATCTGAATGAATATGAGGACTAGGATTAAGATGAGATGTGACATTACATGAAGAGAATTCATTTTTTTAACACTTTATATGTAAAATTAGAGTTAATAAAATACATTTTTAAACACAGATTTTTAGTTGAAAAAAAAGAGAAAAAGACTATATAAATATAAGACTGCTTCCAGGGTTCAAAATCATTTAACAATGAGAAACTTTTTACATTAAGTGGTAGTCTGATCGAACATACGGTATAATGAGTGGTGTCGTTATACATTATATCAGTGCAACACATGCAAGTGCTGCAGACGTACAGTGGAACCTCGAGATATGAGCAAAATCCATTACAGGACCGAGCTCGTAACTCAAGGTGCTCGTATATTGCATCTTTTCCCATAAGAAATAACAGAAAAAAAATGTATCTGTTTCGGCCCTCTTAAAAAAAAAACGCCCTTATTTTGTAAGAGTTCGAGACAGACGATACAGTAGCGGCTAATGGTGGCATGTGCGGAGGAGGGAGGGAAGAGAGTTGGCCCAACATAGACACTTGATTCCGTAGCATTCCTTACACATTATTTATGTACGTACATACTTATGTAATAGTATATACTTACATAAACTTAGAATTACCTTAACTTATTTATGTACGTACATACTTACGTACATAGTACATACTTACATAAACTAAGAATTACCTTAACTTACTTTTTTTTTCTTTTTAATTTTTCTATTTTTTTTTTTTTCTTTTTTTCGATTTGTATTCTTTCTTTAGTGGGCTTCTCACTACCATCCTTACCAATCACTTTCTTAGGACTCATCACTATTATGAATAATAACGCACAAAATCGAGAGAAAATCACGTAGATAACGCAAACAAATGCGGAGGACTCGCGAGAGATGCGTACAGAAGTCAACGAACACGTGACGTGAACGAGTGAAGCGGTGTGGGATGCTCCGGTGCTCGTATCTCAAGGTTCCAATGTACTTTTCTGTCACTCTAAGATGCTATACTTTCCTGGCAGCAGTATAAACATCAGCCAGCACATTTCCAACATCCAAAATCCAAAACTCCTTTAAACAGATCAAGCTTTTGGATAACATGAGCAACTGTTATTCTAGTTGCCGGTATGGTCATTTACTAAAGATTCAATCCCATAAATCCTTCTGCTGCTGATACTGACAGCCAAAATTTTCAGAAGTCTAATGAGAGATCAACTCCATGTGTGGAGTAAGGACAACTTGTCAATCTCTCTGGAACAGGCTCGGACAAACTAAGGCCCGGGGGCCGGATGTGGCCCGTTGAGCTTTTTAATCCAGCCTGCCAAACATTCCAAATGATATAATATATTTATATTATCATTATACTTCTGCTTTTTCCCTGCAATACCCACGTTTTGCCAATAGGTGACGTAGAGAATGATAAAAGCGTTTTAGCGTTTATGCATGACTTTTTCACGTCATTTATCTGGTTCACACGAATGCTCCATCTATCTGCTCCTGACCCGGCCCCTCTGTTCAATTTTAGGACAGTTGTGCCCCGTGAGTCAAAAAGTTTGCCCACGCCTGCTCTAGAAACAGTAAAGACAGTTCAGCTCTTTATCTTTGTTTTTTTTATTACTGAACTTAGAATGCCAATAACATTACAATCATGTATTTATTGTTAGGTTTTTGCTGTAATTGTTTTTTTTTTAAAAAATAGGCCAAAATGAAGCAGCTAGTTATTTTGACACTGTGCTTTACAAGAAGGATGAAACTACTCTAATGCACATTTTAGTTTATGAAAGTTTTTTTTACAGAGCCCTTCCCAGTTTTCTGCTTTGTCAACATTTGCCATATAAAACACTGGATTAGATGAGTGCGTTTACAGCAATACGCAATTTTTTCCCCCATAGAGCATAGCCACCAAATGGAGACATTTTTGTTGTTTGTTTTTTTTTGTTTGTTTGTTTGCAGCGAAGACAGTAGCTGCTAGTGTCGGAGTAGCAGGGTTTTCATTGTACATGCGGTGATATATTGTTTATGGTAAAATATCAAATATTGTGAAATATTTTGTCACTTCACAGATGGGAATTGGGTTGAGGTCTCTTTTAGATGCCCTTTAAACTACATGACACAATGGTAATTAAAAAAACATAATTTTGCCTTTTATTTTTATGGTGTATTTGGACTGTCCTTTTAAATGTTTGCATTTTAATCTGAAATATTTTGTGCTTTTTATTTATTTTTTCAAAAACGTAAAAAAAAGGTTTTACAGGAAAACATTAAAATAATTGAAATAATCTGCAACAATCAAAGCTCATGAGTGGTTGCTGGGATGTATGGTTGGACAATGACTGTTTGGGGGCGCTGTTTTGCGAAATGTCAATTCTCGTCTTTTCCGGTTCCTGTGGGCTCCGAGGCAGTAAGCAACAGGGATTTTCAAAATAAAAGCCGATGACCAACAGTTAAAAAAAACTGCGTTAACACGCGATAACATAATTGTCGACGTCGATTAATTAATGAATGAACAAAGCTCAGCCCTAATAATTATACGGCAGACCTTCGAACCTCGAATACAATTCATTCCAGAAGGCTATTCGAGGTCACTCTGACATTTATTTAAAATGTAAGGAAGCAGCGTTTTTATTTTATTTTATTTTTTTAATTTCTTTACGTTTTTGTCAATTTATGCATCATTTGACAGTTACCTCCGCTGGTGAAATATTCTTAAATATAAAGGCGAATGAACCTTGGGACTGATATTGTGATACATCATAGTCTGCCATTTTAATTTTAAATAGCTCGCCAAGAACTGCAAGGTCGGACCCGCCAAACTTTTCCAAATAATAAAATATATTTATATTATCATTATACTTATGCCTTTCCCTGCAATATCCACGTTTCCCCAATAGGAGGCGTAGAAAATTATAAAAGCATTTTAGCCTTTATGCATGACTTTTACATGTCATTTATCTTAGTTCACACGAACTCCCTGCCTGCTCCTGACCCAGCCCCATCTGTTCAGTTGTAGGACAAATGTGGCCCGAGACTCAAAAAGTTTCTGCCTGATCTAGACCCAGAGAAACCTAAGTTTAGAAGTAAACAATAAACAAAGGGTCTTCCACTCACAATAAACTCTTCCACCATGGTCAAACAAATAGGTAGTTTAAATTACAACAACAACAACAACAGCACCAACAACAAAACCCCCAACCATATAGACGTACTGTACAATCAGTGATGCGTCAAAAGGAATTCTCATATTTTGTGAAAATACGATGTTTATCTCCTGTGAAACCACAGAGAGGCGCTGTTTGTTGACCTCGCGAGTTTACACACACACCAAATACATACCAAGATTATGTACAGCGGCATCCGATGACCACTCTCTTAATAATTTGTGTTAATAATTTGTGTTTAAAATTATTATATTATTATATTATATTGTTACATTATTAACTCAGCAAACACCACAACGACGTCGACACAAATAAAACCACGAACGCAACAACCTCAGAGTAGCGATTAAAAAAAAAATCACATTATAATATTAGCAATATGTATTATATTTAACAAAAAGAGTACTTTACACTAGCTAGGCTTATAAGCGTCATGAGCAGAGTTGGGTTGTTAATTATTGCTTTGTTAAATCACAAAATAAAAGTTAAAAAAACACTTTTTTTTGCTTGCTACTTTGCTTGTAATTTTATCTTCCACAATTTGCAGATTATATAAACAACAATTTATTCAAACTTGATACTTCCTACATGCATTCACTCTTCTGTCATACGATGCTGAAATATTACCAATCAGATACCTCCTTTGTCCGCCAAGCAAGAGCCTTTATTAATCCGGCCAACCGGGCCCCTCCATTTATCTGGCCAATCAGATTGCTCCTTGTATCTGGCCAATTATATTGCTCCTTTTTTCCGGCTAATCAAGAGCCTCCTTTTTTGGGCAATCAGACTGCTGCTTTTACCCAGCTAACCTGGAGCCTCTTTTGTCTGACCAATCAGGGCCCTCGTTTTTTTCGGCTAATCAAATCTTTCCATTTTCCTGCCTAATCAGGCACCCCCATTTATACAGCCAATCAGGGCCATCCACTCATTTTGTTAAGGAAATAAACACACTGAAAAATCAGAATTGCTTTTTAATTTGGTCAGAACTAGATCTTAGCATTTGTAATCCTCGAGTAAACAAGAACAAGAGGTCATATAAAGGTCATCAGTTCTTCAATAAAAAATACAAAATTATTAATTAAATGAATTAAGTAGCTGTAATTGGGACAAGCTTATTATTTTTATAGGTATTGGATAAACAATTCTATAGCCCTACTTGAAATACAATCTCCAATAATTACAAAATAAAATGTCCTCAATGTAATCAGACTTTTCTGAGGTGAAAAAAACATCTATTTGTTCAGCAAGCGGCCACACTTTAAAGTACACTGACCTAAAGATAGAGTATTGATTCCAGCTGGTGAATGCCAAAGCCAGTGCTATTCTTAAACCTTCTCCTACACTCTCGCCCTTCAAGCTGCTTACATGAATCCGATCTATTTTATAAATTGTTTTTAAAAAAAAAAACCAAACTCTCCCATGTTTCAGCACAAGATTTTTTAAACCCAAACTCTCCCATGTTTCAGCACAAGAAACCACGTGTCTCTAAAAAAACTTCCCAACAGACATACGCAGGTTATCCACAGTGATTTTACCAACTGCTATTGACACCCTTTCATCTCACCCTTTTCCAGGGTGCCTCCCTCCCCCATGGCACGTATGACCTCCCCCTCCCCGTCGTCCTTCCTCCTTTACCATCCCTCCCTCCTAACAACTGCAAGTCCTTTTACATTTTAGGCATTGCATTACTGGACAAGCCCTCTAGTCCAAAACGGTTCACAACAAGTGTGTAATAGTAGCCCAACCTTGCTCTATCACCCTACAACTCAACTCTCCTCCCACAGGTTTACTGTTAACTATTTTTGCCTTTTGCCATTGACTTCACCCATTTGCAACAGTCCGACCAATAACTTGTTCCTCACCGTAACTCGTTCAATACAATATTAATGTGAATAAAAACTACGTCTGACCTCTATCTTAACCAGAACTTCAAAAATAAGGATCGATCTTATGAGTCGCTTGAGTCCTGAACTCAAGAGGATTGTGAATAAAGTATAGTAAATTAAAGTTAAAGTGAAGTTCCTTAAAGAACAAATTCACAAGTGCGTGTGTGTGAGTGTTATTTATTCGGCTAATTGCTTGGCTTGCATGCGTAGACGTGAAAGCAACAAACAATATTTGAATGTGTACCCTAAAAAAAAAAATGTCGCAGTATACATTAGACAGTAAATGTCAATTCTACTTAATATTTAAAAACCTACGGTATCGTAAAATGTCGTACAACATTCGTCTGGAACAAATCAATTCATTTCTTACGATTCATATACTAAATCTATTCT